AGAGCAACCTCTTACTATTTATTCTGGTTTCCATAGTGCCAGAACTAATAATCCCTCCAGCACTGCTGAGGGTCACAGGGCAGGAATGCCTCTGAGTCAGCCCAGGTCTGACAGAGCTTGTGCTGAGATGGAGTTAATAAAATCCTGATGAACCTAGGCTGACCTTGCAAGGTCAGGAGGCTTCATACACTGATTCCTAATCCATCCCACAGTGTTCCCATTATCTTTTGATCATCCTGGATGTCTCTGTGCCACACACTCCCCAGTGATGGAGGCCAGACTTCAGAACCACACTGTTCTCCTAAACAAGCACTCAAAACACACACTAGTGAAGAAAGTGGCTGATTTTAAAAACAGACCTTGGCTGTCCAGAATTGCCACCGCTGTTATCCCAGCACTGGCATGGCACATGGGAATGGCCAGTGCAGAAGGTGCAGAACTTCGTGTGCAAGCGAAAGGTCCTTTTGACCGTCACACCAAAGCAGTGCTGTGTCACAGCCACATCTTGTCATGCAGCTCAGCGCATCAGACATGCCCTGACACAAATCTGCGCTGCTTCTGGGAACCAAGGGAAAAGACCCTCAGAAAGTTTGAGAGTTACTGCTCCAGCCTGAAAAATGACCCTTTTTGCAGTTCCCAAGGGTCATGTTGTCTAGACCTCTGGCCATTCATTCTGCTCTTCTCTGGATGCTTACAAGAGGCCCACAGAGCACTGCTCAGAGCAGAAATAGTACATCAGCCACACAAATGCCAGGTAGAGTGGAAAAAATATTTTGCAGGCAGACTCTTGTCCATATATTCTAGCACAATATTCATGGCATAGAATTGTTGATTCATAGCCATTTTCTGAATTCTTGCAACTGCCCATCTGTTTTCTGCAGAGCTGGTGTCTCACCAGTTATTCTGCATTTTGATTTGCACAGCTGATTATTCCTGTTGAACCACAATTTAGAACTTGTTCTTGATGAACTGCATCATATTTATTTCAGATCAGTTCTCCAATATATCACATTAATTTTGAATTCTAATCCTGTGCTCAGAGGGTTTACATCCTCCCCCTGGTTGGTGTCATCTGGAAATTTTGCATGCAGATTCTATCATCTAAATCATTAATTAAAATATTGAATATTTTCTGGCAATCCAGGGAAGAATCCCACTTGACAGATCCTTCTGGTTTGACTGTGAATCACTAGTAATTATTCTGAGAAGAGCTCTCCAGCCAACTGTGTACCCACCTTGTAGCCCATTGTGCCACCTTGTTTATGAGAAGCAGAAAAGACTTCCAAAAATTAAAATATATCTCTGCATACAGGAAAATTAGGCTCCACTGACAAGGTACCTTCTGAAAATAAATCCATGCAAATTCATTTATAATATTATTATCTACAGGCTAATTATTAAAAAATGCAGTTGACTATTTGATTCAAACTTTTTTCCCCGAGAACAGAAGATAAGCTAGCTACTCCAATGGGGACACAGAAGGACCCACAAGACTTTGGCTCTCTGGGTCCAAAAAGAGCAGATTTTTTGAACCTAAACTTTCACAGATTTTTTGACCCAAAACTGTCCTCCAAATGTTCTCCAGTGTAGCCACTAATTGTTCAGAGATTGCTTCAACTATTTCACCCTATTTAAAGAGATAATTTAATAAACTCCATCTTGTTCTAAAACACCCATTATCCTATCTCATTAGTTTATAATCCGTTCTTTTCCTGCTCTAGCAGGAATTCTTACCTTTGTCAAGGTCGCAGTTCTTTTCCTGCTACTTGATTACAGTTCACCCTTTTAGGCAAAGAACTATACAAAAACTTACATGAACTGCTCAATCCTCTCTGTACCATCAGATCATTTTTACCTGACATTTTGTAACTCCCTCTCAACTAGTAGCTCAGAAACTTGGTTTTCCTCTTATTACTACTGAGAATGCAGTATGTTTCTTGTCATCATACCCTTTTTCAGTTGTACCTTGTTCTGTGAACTGGCTTACCTGATTTGACCCTTGCATTTTTCTCATCTTCTTTTACATTCACCTCCAGTAACATATTGAGTTTCCACTTCATGTATGAGTTCTCAATTATCAGATCATATAATTTTGTCTCTTCTTACCCTTTTTTACTGGAATGCCTTTCATCTGGGCTTTTTTCACTCTTTATTTTGACTTTGAAAGAAAAAGTTATTTCCTTTTAAAATGGCCAGAATTTCTTAGGTTTGTATCCCAGGAAACATTACCTATCAGTTCTGTGAGCCCAATGCAATATACTTTCTTGCATACTATTGCTTTTATTTTCAAATTCTCTCTTCTCATCTTCTGAAGAATGACAGGCTCACTCTTTCCTGATTGCTACCACTCAAATTACATTTTACTATCATAGGCTCAGCCATCTTTTTCCTAATCAAGCCTAGGAGCACTTCCACTGCTCTTTTTGCATTCTGTAATCCTGAACCTGTTATACTCACATGATCTACTGAATTTAGTATTTAGCCCGTAAACTGAAAACATTCTAAATGTTTGCTATTGTTTGGTAATGCATGATAAAATGACTGGGTGAGCCCATCTCTTGGGACAAGAGCCATCTGCATAAAAGGGAATCTTTGGCATCAGTGCCAGTAAAATGAGCATACAGACAGGATCTCCTAGCCATAACTGCAAAATATCTCCAAAATATGGCCAAAATATCTCCTAGCCATAACCGCAAATCTTTCCAGGTAACAGCAAATAGCAAAGTGGAAAGGAGGTTTAGGAAATACTCTGACCATGGCTGCACAGAGGCACTGTCCTCCCAGGCTTCTTTTGCCAGCACTCTGGTCAGCTGTAAACTGAAATTATTACTCTGGTTGTTGCAATAGCTGCAATCACTTAGCATGTCTAGATTCAGTGTTGACATCACACAGGCTTCAGATATCAAAGCTTTTTTGCACAAATTAGCTCCCTTCTCATGTGGCCGGGACCCCTCTGCTGCTAGCAGATATTGTTCTCTCCTACAGCTAAACTGGCACTCCAACAAAACAAAAGGAGCACTACAGCAAGGATCAGAGGAGCAACCATAAGCACCTGCCATTACATTTTTATTGCAACTCTTAAATTAGCATAACACAGTCCAATGGATTTCTCTGAGAAATACATACCTACCCACTGTTTATTATTGCTGAGTACATCATCTAAATCTAATAAAGAACAAGAAATATCTCCAAAAAGTAAATACAGATATCAATTTAATACAAGTTGGAAGTTTTCTCCTCCTACAAAGGAAATATAATTCAACCTGTTTCTTCAACAAGTCTCCTGAACGTTTGGTGCCCCTTAATGTTTAATAATTCTTTAGTACAGCAGCCAAGATTTGAATATGTGTATCAACATCTTTACCTAAGGGCAATTCCAAAGGCATATAAGAATTTCTTACAGGAGACCAAGCAATCTTAATGCCATTAAGTCTCCAGAATAGGTCTGAATGTGCTGGGTTGCACCACTGTCTGACTGTTGTCCTGGGCTTCCAGGGACCCCAGTTTCATCTCTCTGAATTTTATGCAGTTCTGCTTGCCAAGTGTTTTCCATCCAGCAGCAATCATGAAACCTCAGCTTTCCAACACACCCCTCTCCAAGCACCCTGGTCACAGTGCCAACTTCTGGGAGCTAAAGGGTAGCAGACACAGTGGCAGAAGAGTGTAAAACTGGACAGAAGACAATATAGTAATGAAAGGGTGTTAGAAGTAAAAGGGTTTCCAGCAAAGGAGAGAGCCAAGTTAATGAAGAGAACAGATATCCTCACAGTTGGGAATTTTGGTGAAAAGCAAAAGAGTGACAAAAACTCCTAGGAAAAAGTGAGGACTGGCAGAGAGCAGCAAGGACAAGAACAGCAGTAGGGAGCTTTAGGAGTGTGCTGCTGGCTAGACAGAGGAAGGTTGTCCCAGACTTCACCTCTCCCATTAGCATTGGAGCACATGTGGAGGAGAGCTTCCTGTTTCCTCTCCTTCAGGACACAGAAACCAGGCTGTAAATCAAAGCAAGGCAACAGAGACAGTTCAGAGCTGCACCACCGCTCCAAACCACTGTGCTGGTGCAGACAGCTGGATACAGAATCACACCCCACTGCAGCCAAAACTCCTTCTAAAGGCAAACATTTTATATAAGAAAAAGAAATGTCTCGCACATCACTAGTTTACACTGTGATACTAATCCCTTATCTGGACATACTAAAACAAGAGCAATATCCAGTTGATTTTCTATGCATTTTTTGCTGCTAGCTGGCAGACACGGAAACAAAGCAGCAGGATCTGCTCATCCTCTTTTCCTCCTCCCACCTCTCAAATCAGAAACCATCCCATACAGGCAAAGCACTACATGAACTCCAGCAGACTTTACACTAGAGGGAGCTTTCCTCAGAAAGTCACACCACCGCGGCATCCTCTTTCTCATTACATTATTTTTAATCCATCTACAGAGAAATACACTGGACTGAGGTGAAACAGTTCCCATTTAAACCCTCCAGTTTAGCCAGTTCAAGCACTCCAGCAGGCCAGTGGTGCAGAGGAGGGGAGTACAAAGAGAGGGTGCCTGGCAAGTTTTGCCCAGAGATGTGCTCCAGCAGGCAAGATAAGGCTCAATACTGACATGTTGCTGAGAAGCCTCCTGACATGAACCATGTCCATTCTGCAGCCTCACCAAACTCCTGTGCTGAGCACGAGAGCAACTTTACAGACTACATTTTATACTGACCCAAGAGACCACTCATGGTTAAGCTGTTAATGAGTACTTTAACGAGGAAAGCTGAGATAAACTTTCCCCAAGGCTCGTGGCCATCCATTTCTGAAGGCAGAAATATGGATAACTGTGCTCCTCACTGCTGATACAAGTGTTAAACTGGTCTTCAAGTGAATTGCTTTAAAATACTATTTAAGCTGAAAGTACTACAAGATGCTAACAACAGTCAGGACCTATTCATTTTCTAAACTCCAGTAAATCATCCCAAGAATATGAGTGGAACTAGAGCAGAAATCCTTACCTGTGAAAGCATTTGTGGCCTGAAAACCAGCTTCCTGCATACTGCTCTTCCAGAGAAGCTTGAGATTCCCGTCTCAACCTGTCCTTACTGGAGACAACTGCTGAGCTTGTTGCTGTCAAGTCACTTCCATCTTAGCTTGTCAGAGTCCATTTCTCTTTCCATTCCTGTATCTGGCACCATCCAGTTCCCACCTGTTCCCAGGTCTTTCGATGTATAAGCAGAAGGGATCTGCACTGAACCTAAGCAGAAGTGTTGGACAGTCCCATCAGCCAGCCAGCCAGAGAATTTGTGCCATGATGAATGTGAAAATGAAGCAAATCTCCTGTCAAGACTTCCCTTCCCTTTTACAATTAAGTTCTAATCCTCTGTTCATCCAGCACCATTTTTTCAGGTCTCAGCCAATGGTGATGTTCAATTGTCTCTCCTCTCTTGTGTTCCTCTCCCCTCAGGCACGCTCACTGAGAAATTAAAAAAGAAGAGATTATGTTTCCTGATGACCTGTAGCAACACTAAAATTAAGAGACTCCAGGGAACAAAAACCCAAAATACATTATCAGGGATTGATTGTACACATTAAAGGAGATCTTCAGAAGGCAAATCTTGCGATTTTGCTGAGATGCAAAGTGTGACCACACAGCTCTTTGAAGTGCAAAGAGGAACAGTGCTGAGGGTGTCATATGCATCTCTGAGAACATGATATGATTTACATTTCAAAAGCCATATTTAGCAGAGATGGGGGCAGCAATACAATAACAAAATTGCAGTTAAAAGAGAAAAGGAAAAATACTCAAGGCTCTCAAGTCTGGTCTATTCAAAACCACAATGAAACTATTAGCATTTCATATAGCTGCTTCCCTCTTTTTCTGGAGCAGGAAAAGAGAGAGCTGTGTGGCAACACTATATATGCCATTCTTACAGCCTTCTGTGGTTAAAAACCTCTGCATTTCTTCCTGTTGATTACCAAACTTTGTATGTCTTGCTGTAGATTATCTTTTAAAAATCTCAGTTGTAACACAGATGATACAATTCAGATGCCTTCAGACATTCAATGAGATTGGTTAAAAACACCCACAGGCTACACAGGCAGAAAGGTGGTTACAATTTACTTGATACTGCTACTTCTATATAGCATAGATACAGCTCACTGAAAACTACAGCTTGTTCCAGGTCCAGCTTTTCAAAACTAGGATAAAATTACTTTAATGGGGTGAAGGCAAACAGCAGACAGGCACATGTTCAAGGAGAAGATTATTTTAGAAAACAAGGAAGAAAGAAAAGAGGACTTGGAGAAGAACCCACTCACTCCCCAGCCATCCTGTTCCTCCTGTAATGATGCTCGGCTCATTATCTCCCAGCTCAGTGGCACAAGCAGGTTGAAAGTATATCTGTGATGATCTTATGACCTACTAATGGATTGTAGATGATGAGCCCAGCCAGAGCTTGCAGTACTGGATTGGACCCAAGGTCCACCTGCTGGAGCAGCCCCTGTCAGAGTAGGGCAGTCCCAGCAGCCGCTGCTTTGCAGAACAGTGCAAGAGCCAGCTCAGGGAGCAGGTGGCAATAAATAACACACTGCTTGCTCCCCAGCCCCACATCACCCTTCACCCTGACCTGCAAGATCTGGAGATGAGCTTATATCTGAAGCACAAGTCTGAATATCCCAAAGAGTCCAAAACTACAGAGAAGCTTCTCAGGCTCCTTGGGGTACAGTCAGCCAGGCCTCGAGGGCTTCATTAGGGATCCACCTTGGGTGAGGGACAAAAAGGATCTCTCCTTAAGTGTGCCACTGAAACCAAGTGAGCCTGACACCTGATGAATGTCATTTTCCTTGCAACACATTGAATGAAAGCTAGCTGCTAGCAAAGATGAATCTCAGTGGTATTGCTTTTCCCCCCGATTTTGTAATGCCACTGTTACTGAAGAACACATGTTTTTGTCTCACCACCCAGCACAGGAATGACTGATTTGTTACTTGTGTTCAAATCCAGTCATTTGCATTCAGATCAAATAAGGTTACAGGACAGATTTTAAATGTTTTCCCCATTTCTTACCTAAACATCTCAACCTAATAGACAAGAAAGTAGAAATTAAGGAAGACAGAAAAAAAATTATGTGTAGTATCTTTTATCAGAAAACACTGCATAAAAACTTTAGAATAGTGTTTTAAAAGCCATTATTCCTGAATATTATATAGGTCCTTGAGATACTTTTTCAACCCTTTGAAGTGCTCTATGCAACTAATAACAATTTCATATGAGGCTATTTTATTCTAAAATATATATAACTGAGCAAGTATAATATACATACACAGCAGCATATCGTTCTTTTTGGGTCTTAACATTGTGCTAATTATTCTGTAATGATTATAGGTGGATGCTGCACTCATTTCCCAAGCTTTCTCTCTAGAGGCCTGAGTTTTCTCTATATTTATAAGAGGAGGTCCATATTTGCATTTACAGTCTTATAACTTTTGATTTTGGTTTATAAATCCAAAATTTTGATGTTTCTATTTTTCAACATTTTCATTTCACACCTTAGAAATGCTCAAGAGATGTGCAGTAATACGTTAGCATCCAGGGAAATTCTCCTTTTTGTTTTTATTTCTATATATAATACCTTCTAATTTATATATATATATATATGCATATATATAAAAATAAACTTCTAATTCTTAAAAGAATAAAGTATTTTCACTTTACTGAAAATTAATATTTTATTTAAAGAATAACTATTCTCCACATCTTCAACAGTTCTGCTAAACCAGTTAAGAACCCAGTAGTGCTGAAGAAACTACAACTCAGGCACTTTCAGTAACCTCTGCTTCTTCATATACAAAGACGTAATTTTAACAACATTACAAGATACTGAAATATTTCAAGAGTTCATTCAGACCTTAATATTTAAAGGATAGTGCACTGCATCAGGTTTAAGTCCTTCCTTAAGGACTCATGTGAAAGCAGATGCTGGTATCTCTTGATTGCCTTAAGTGAGTGTTTCCCATACTGCCAAAGTGCTCTTCTCCCATGCCAGCTAACAAACTCAGAGGTGGCTGGCAGGATGGAAGAACTGGAGCAGGATGTTGGGGCAAGCTGTGCAGTGCTCAGCACTTGATGGGCCTTGTCACAATTCAAAACCAAGTTCAGTACTTATAAAATGCTTCTCCCATACAGATATGTGGCCTATCTGATGATCCTTTTCATTAGGCAGACTTTAATCAATCACATCGGCACGATACCAGGTTTCTCAGATTACAAATGCATCCAGGTGAAGGTGACAAAGCAGCCCAAATGATACCACAGCAAATAAGGAAAACTGAAAATTCCAATTAAAACAGCATGTACAGCCACAACCTTTCTATTTTCCAGAAAATTTTCCACTAAAGCTGAGCTTACATTTAAAGGAAGGAGGTTTATGTTTGTTTCCCAACACACTGGCATGTTTGCATGCATGGAAAGGGTCAGGACCTCTGCTGACACATTTCAGTATGGCTTAGCCAACTCCAGTGGAGCCATGTGTTTACCCTTTTCTACCAGAGTGGTGCAGAAATGCTAAACCAACCTGCTTAAGGGCCCAGAAAGTGAAAACACATATCTCAAAAGAGAAAATAAACAATACTGATAGAACTATAATAAGGCGTGATCTTTGATGTAACATTTTTGCAACCTGCGGAGACCCCAGTGGGAACTGATTAGACGGCAAGAGAAAATGTGGACTAGAAAGAATAGAGATTTTCTCTTTGCTCCATCTGTTGCCTTCTTTCCAATAGCAACAAGAACTCTGCTTCCACTTCTGCTTTCATTCACCTACTCTGCAGTGTTATATGAGTCTCAGAAGCAAACCAGAGCAAACCATTGTGCTGTATAAATATGTAGCTGTGCTGTAAGGATTTCTGGATACTATGCACTTACACAATTGAATATCTAGAAGAAAAATCAAATTAATTTGTTTTCATCCTCTCCACTTTTCTCAGATTTGGTCCTGAGAAAGACACCACCATCTAAACCTCACATGAATTGCAAATAGAAAGTATTCTGACTATTTAGCACCTTATGTGTCTTACATTCTCATGGTATATTTAGCTAGTAAACATGTTATTCCCCTTTTCTAAACATTCCAAGATGCAAAAGGGTCACGGTAAAAAAGAATCTGAGGGAGAAAAGTAAGCAAAGAATATAATTAAATTCTGCATTAATATCTACATTTTATGAAGTATTATGCAACCATCAGCCAGGACAAGACTGGAGGAACTTGCTCTGAAAGAAGAAGTGAAATATTGCTTTTTCCAAGACTGATATTTCTGTAACATCTTGAAAAACTCAAAAGCACTGGCTGACATGTAAATACTGCAAATTGAGGGGTTTTTTTCTGTTTGGAGAGGGGATTTTTCCATTTCCTTTCATAAGGAAACATAAAGTCTGCTTCTCTGGCTCATGCTTTGGTTCCCACAAAGGCTTGAAGAACTCACTCAGTATGTTGCCAGAAGAGCTACATCCATAGGAAACACTTCCTGTGATAGCCCTTGGCTTCCTTTGGGATGCTAAAGGACAGCATTTCACTAAATGTGTACAACACATTTCCTAACAGGAATATCTGTACAAGGAGCCCACGCATTCACATTTTTAAGAAAGTTACTGGACAACTTGTGAGCAGTGCTTTAAATTAAATTGATCAAGGCAGGACTCATGCTTGGATCTCTTGCTCTCAGGTGAACGAGTGTAAAAGGGGAGAGAGCGGGAGCTAGCCTGTCCTGCTCTCACTGTGGTCCCTGCAGAAGGAGGGTGCGGCAGGGGCAGAGCCCAGCGGAGCTCGGATGCTGCCGGCACCGCCTGCTCCATGGATGAAAGGAGGACAGAAGCACGGCGGGCTGAGCTGGCAGCACGACTCCAGCTCAACGGGAGATGGAAGCACATCTCCAAGGAAAAAAGTCTTCTGACTGAAACCAACACCAGTACTGAACTATCAGCATGCTTAAACACTTTGCTGAAGTAAGACCTATACTTCCCATAGGCTAAGGCAGCACAGACTTGGATATTTTTCTAAGAAGTTTCCAGGTAGAAAAACACTTCCAACATTTTTTTTGTTTAACTGGGTTTTTCAAAATATCTTTTAAAGTTTGCTAAAGCCATTTAAAATTAAGCTCTTGTGCACCCATATAGCTCACCTCTCCAGCTCCTTTTGGATTTACCAAGTTTTCCAGGCTTTGTTTTTCCTTCTAGAAAAGCAATTTCTAGAAGGAAAGAGATTCTAAACTAGAATCTCTTCAGAGATTCTAAACTAGATAAACTAATAGCAACCAATTATACCTGATCTTTTTCAGTGGTGAGGCCTGCATTTTACTGTGTGATCCTCATTTTACTTCTATCTATAATTTGTCTCCCTTCCAAGATAGCATTGCACCAGTGCTAAGTAAATCCTGCTTCTTGGAAAATACTGTGATCCATAACTCAAAGACCACTTA